GCGGGCGGGAGAGCGCGGGTCAGCACCACGGACAGCGGCCGCTCCCTTGTTGCCCAGGTGCCATGGACCAGCCCAACCTCACCCAGGTCTCGGAGTTCCTGCTTCTCGGCCTCTCTCAGGACCCCGGGCAGCAGCGGCTCCTGTTCGTCCTCTTCCTGAGCATGTACCTGGTCACGGGGCTGGGGAACCTGCTCATCGTCCTGGCCATCGCTGCCGACCCCCGGCTCCACACCCCCATGTACTTCTTCCTGGCCAACCTGGCCTTCGTGGACGTGTGTTTCACCTCCACCACGGTCCCCAAGATGCTGTCCAACCACGTGTCGGGACGCCGCAGCATCCCCTACGCCGGCTGCCTCGCCCAGATGTTCTTCTTCATCTGGTTCGCCGGCATCGACAGCTTCCTGCTGACCACCATGGCCTACGACCGCTACGCGGCCATCTGCCACCCGCTGCGCTACTCCGCGGCCGTCACGCCCCAGCTGTGCGGCCTGCTTGTGGCCGCGTCCTGGGCCGCCGCCTTCGGCAACGCCCTGACCCACACCGCGCTGCTCGCCCGCCTGTCCTTCTGCGCCCACAACAGGGTCCCCCACTTCTTCTGCGACCTCAGCCCCCTGCTGAAGCTGGCCTGCTCGGACACCTCCCTCAACAGCGCTCTGGTCTACACCGTGGGTGCCCTGCCCATCATCGTGCCCTTCGTGGGGATCCTGGTCTCCTACACGCACATCTTTGCTGCCGTGCTGAGGATCCCGTCGGCGGGAGGCAAGCGCAAGGCCGTGTCCACCTGCGGCTCCCACCTGGCCGTGGTGTCCCTGTTCTACGGGACCCTCATCGGGGTGTACTTCAGCCCCGCGTCGCCCCACACGGTCCAGCAGGACACAGCGGCGGCGGTGATGTACACTGTGGTCACCCCCATACTGAATCCCTTCATCTACAGCCTGCGCAACAGCGACATGAAGGGCGCCCTGGGGGCCCTGGTCCGCGGGAAGCTGGTGGCCGGGAAGTGACCTCAGGCCGGAGGTCCAGGGTCCCCACAGAGCATCCGCCTGTCGGGAAGCTCCTGTCTCGCATCTTTCCGTTTGCTTGGCTTTGTTCTGCCAGCGCTGCTTCAGGAGCTCTCTTCTCACCTCGGCCCGCAGGCCGCCCAAGACCTGGCCTCAGTGGGAGGTGAGCGGCAGACAAGGAGCGAAGCCTTCTCTAACTCCAGCCACCCTGTCCTGGCCTGACCTCTGCAGCCTCAGATCTGCAGCCCTAGCAGCACAGCACGCGAGACAGCCGGGGTGCACACAGCATGCCACCATCCCCAGACCACCAGCGCCCAACCCCTGGTCTGTGCAAAAGTTGTCTGCCACAAAACCAGCCCCTAGAGCCCAAAAGGTCGGGGACGGCTGATTCCAATGTCTTGCAGGGGCTGGGGACACAGGAAGGAACAGTTACTGCGCCTGGCCTTGCGAAGCTGACACTGCAGCCTGAAGAATGCGCATGGTGTCGAAAGGGGTGGGAACCACAGGATGCAAGGCCTGGCGTGGGCTGAGGTTCGAGGTTGGCTGCTAGAACAAAGAGACTCAAAACACAAAAGTCACAAGCTTTGCCCAGAAGTAGTGATGCACACCTTTGAACTCAGCACTCTGGGAAGCTGAGGCAGGAGGATCATAAGTTTAAGCCCAGCCTGGACAAGCCAATTAGCAAGACCCTCTCTCTCAAAATTTAAAAAGATATAAAGGGCTGTGGATGGAGTTCAAGGTAAAGGCTGTGGCTTCAAGTCCCAAGACTGCCAAAAATAAAAGTCATAAGCTTCTCCAGCCAGAATTCTGACACCCCTTCATGTCTCAGCATCGGGCCCTGGAGTGCCTCACCTCTCCATAACGCTCAGTTAGCAGAGGCCACCGTGAGGCCATCAGAGACAGCGGCCTCAGGAAGGCACCAAGAGCCCTGGATCCACAGTGTGGGGGGCAGCAAGCTGTTGGTGCCTCTGCTGCTGTGATATTTATGACTCCTTGGTGCCCGAGTCCTGTCCCAGATCCTGTATTCCCCAAAACTCTACTAAAAGCAGCGAGGGACAAACCACGTAGGGTGACGGGCTTGCTTTCTCATCTCTCTAGAGACCCAGGCTTGCTGGACACACGGTCCATCCTGCAGCTCGCCACACATCATGGTCACACCAGGTGTTCTCCGGTGTAGCCAGTGTCACCAGATCCCCACCCGGCAGTGTCGGTGTCCTTGCTCCAGGCCATTACACTAATGCCACCGATGTTCTGGTCCATTTTCAAAATGGCCGCACCCCACTTCTGATATCATTTGTGTCTGTGGCAATGAAGGGCTCACGTGCTACATTAGCTTGCTAAGGTGACATAACAATGCACCACACACCTGGAGGCCTGGTGAGATGGATTTGCCCACAGTTCTGGAGCTCATGAGGTCCAAGACAGAGGAGCTGGCACCTGTATCATTGAAAGAGCCTTCCTGCTGCATCACCCCTTGTTGGAAGAAGGGAGAGCCAGGGCTGGGGATTAGCTCAGTGGTTCTGTCGCCTGCCTCACAAGCACAAGGTCCCAAACTCAATCTCTGGTATTAAAAAAAAAAAAAAAGAAGGCCAGGCATCATGGCGCATGCCTGTAATCCCAGCACTCAGGAGGCTGAGGAAGGGAATCCTGCTACCATTAAAAAAAAAAAGATGTTGTCACCTCTTGTTAGCTCTGTATCACCCTTGAGAAAGGCCAGAGAGTACTTAGCACCATGACCCTCAAGCCCCTCATGTGTCCCAAGACTCATGCCCAGTCAAAGGGGCATCGCAAGCATCAAGGACCCATCTAGATAAATGTTAGCTGAGAGCTGCTGGGAACTGGGCAAACTAGAGTTACCTGTAGGAGCTGCTGCCTTACTGACTTCATTGTTGAGACACAACACCCAATCCCCACAGCTTGAAAGAGCAGAGGTTTATTTGGACTCATGGTTCAGCCCATGGTCGGCCACCTCCAAGGCAGGACAGCAAGGTGGAAAAGAAGCAGCTCGCAACAAGCCAGCTTTAGCACCCCATAATCCAGTCACCTTCCAGCAGATGAGGCTTCGGGAGCCATTCTTGACCCAAACCAGAACATCCCACACCTGGCCCCCAAAAGACTCCTCTGTATCTCTTGATACAAAATGTGTTCAGTCAAAATGCATCTAGTTCATGTCTAAGAGTTGCCAAAGTCTTAACAGTCCCAGCACCACCAAAAAGTCCAGGTCCGGCCTCCTCTGAGACTCTTAGCTGGGAGCCTCTGTGAAAACAGAGAAAGTTAAACACTGCAGATACAATGGCACCGGGGAAACAGTCCCACTCCAAAAGAGAGAGGGGCCAGAGATGTAGCTCAGTGGTTCTACCACCTGCCTCACAAGTGCAAGGTCCTGAGTTCAATCCCTGGTACCAAAAAAAAAAAAAAAAAAAA